GAATGCTTGACCAATTTTTGATGTTAATGCTGGCTAAGACCTGCCTCTCTTCTTACTCTCTGATGGGTGCTGCCCCAGGGTAGCCACCTACTTCAAATCATTTTTTGTAAAAAAAAAAAAAAAGAAAGAAAAAAAAATGCGTATAACATGACTCTGACATTTGACTCAGACTCAGTTTTGGATTTGACTTGGCCAACTGTTACTTTATCAATGATTGTCGCAAAACTAAAACTGCCTACAACTATTTCTCGCTTTCCTTAAAACTAGCCCTGCTTGAGATAACAACCCTTTTTATTATAACCTTACCCTAACGTAAAACAGACCAAAAGACCTACCACGCTCCCAGTTTCCCAGCCTGACCAGAAATATAAAAATTGACAGTATCTTCTGGCAAACCAAAGGAACCAGGATTGGACAAATCTTCAAATGGATTCTTCACTTGGTAAGATATAAACAACAAAACAAACAGTAACTAGTATTGAACTTCACACATTTCCCCTTGAAAGTTATTACATTTTAAGTTGTATTAGAATTGATCTAAAGGTCACTTTGAATAGCCTTATTACGCACTTACATGGATGTAAATATATCACTAGTTCTCTTGCTGCTGGTGAGGTGTACATTATTATCACTAATACAACATAAAGCAGCAGAATTGTACCCAATGCAGTCTTGAACAATGACCTGACAAATGAAATACCACAAATTAGCAGGCCCACCCCTCACATGATTCTGGGTGTTACGGGGGGAGGGGAGTGGTGAGTGTGGTGAGGGTGGGATTGGGATTGTGACCAATCACAATAAAGCTCAGGACATGCAAGCAAACAGCACAAACCAAATTACTGCTGCTGTTTGTGGTTTGTTTCTCATGCCTAATTGGCTTTTTATTTGCCATACAATAAAAGTCTATTAATCAACAGCTGACTGACTGTCAACCGAGATGTTGATCGCCTGTTGACCTAGTCTCGATGGAGGAATTGATTGAGTGTTGATTGAGATGTTGATGGTGTAGATGTAGGGTCGATCAAGGGTATCGATCAAAACTCAACTGTGGATGTCTTAAGTACACATGATCCAATAGTGTTGTAGCAGAAATCCATACTCAGTTGACACTAAATTGATACTCATCGACACTCGATCATCAGTTGGTCGATAGTTGGCATGACTCACACAAGTATGTATCGATCAACACTTGATGGTGTGTCTGTGAAAATTACTCAATTGTCAACCAACTGTTGAACCGAGATGTCAATCAAGTGTTGACCGAGTATCCATGAAGATGTTGATTGAGTGTTGATTGAGATGTAGAGGTGACGATGGAGGATCGACCAAGGGTATCAGTCAACACTGAACTGTGGATGTCTTTCGTGCACATGATCCAATTGTGTTGTAGCAGAAATCTATACCCCTTCCAAGGAGGGTTTCTTAGAAGCTCTGGAAATTCCAGAAATTCCAGGCTTCTTTTTCTCTAAAAAAATCGGGCATATTTTAAGACTCCCCGGCCCCCCAGTAACCCTCCTTGAGGACAACTTATTGTAGATGAGTGTTACGTTTGTTTCAGTGGATAACACATCCTTGGACTGGGACCAGTCAGTTTGAAAATTTTGGAAATGGGAACAGCCTGGGTCAAAGGTCTTCAGAGATCTTCAGTGATGGATGATGGGGATTTCTTTGGAAGACCTTGCACTCCAAAGATAGGCGAAGGATAAAAATCTCACATGAGACTTACAGATTCTCAGCAGCATTGTTAATCAAACTTCTTTGGCTACCCCAGAGAAAAGGCCCAAAATGATTCTCCACACGGCAGGGAATTTGTCAGTTTTTGTAACGTATTCAGAACCAATATCCACTTGTTTAGGAGGGGGAGTTAAAGAAAAAAATTGACGTCTACATACGAGCCAAGTGGCCCATCAGGCATGAAGCTACTAGTAGTATTTCTACTCTCCTTGGATGGAATGCTAGTCCATCGCAAGGTTACCCCCAACATTAAATTCTCTGGTACCCATTTATGCAATGTCTGAATTTCAACCAGGGCTAGAACCCAGACCTCTCGATTCAGTGTCGAGCGCTCCAGGGGTTATTTTTAAGCTTTAGAAATAAACTTTTTACTGACTTACCAAATCAATGAAATGATTCCAAACACCAGCGAAGATGACAGACTCCTACATAGCAACAAAAGATAACTATATTTAATTCTTTATTCCTTAATTCTACATTTAAGAACGATGAAAGAACTGCAGATGATGGACTTTGCCTAGTGAATCGGTGAAGAAGTGACAACGTTAACTAAAGTTGCATCTCAACGGATCTCGTTTACATTGTTACCTTTGCCGCTCTTTCTCGTCAAAGCCAACCTTTGCTTCTTTTTCTCTACTTTCTTGATTAGCTGCTGTCTTCTTAGCTCGTCGCTTCACGCCTTCAGACATACTGTCCGTATTTCCCGCCTTGATCGAGCCTTCCAAAATGTAAGTTGCGCTTTGATAACTTTCCTTAATTCATGTAAGATATCATGAAAATATCGCTGGGAAACTGGTAACTAAACAAAGAAAATGGCGGCCACTTGTTGATCCGCACATACAGAAGTTGTTCTTCGTCAAAATCGTGTCAAGTTTACCAATTTTCTTTGGAGAATGTTTGGTGATAAAGCACTTGAGCTTGTAAAGGAACTGAAAAGATCTATGGATGGCACTCTGCCACCTTATAATGTAAGATATTGGTTTCTTCTCATTCAACAAATTTTGGCGGGAAACTTTTCGTCTAAGTTTCTGGTGAGATTATTGTCAAATCAACGTCCTGATGATCGCTTCCAAAGCCGGCAGGGTTTTTTTGCATATTGAGGGTTGCAAGTTGTAGGTATGTTCGAGTTGAAGTGGAGTAATCCCCAATATAAAGGCTAACTGCCAGCAGCTTAGGCTTATTAACGTGACTACTGTATACTAACTTGCCAGCAACTCAGCCAATCAGTGTAGCATTTTTCCACTCATTTAACCGGGATTTAAATATCACTTTCCCGAAGACTGATACATTGTTGCAAATCGAATGCATGGAAAATACCCAATGGAAAATGGAAATGTATTTCTTTTTTTCAGAAGACCTCCAAAGTGTTTGAGATATTATTCCACTTTGGGGCAAAAAAGCTCAAAATGCATAAAATTTGCAGATAAGATCGAAGCGACAGGTATCTAAAACCTTAATAACAGTGCTGGCAACGCGATCTCTAGTTTCCCAGCCCCTCTATCTAAAAGTTCCCCCTTCTTGTTTAATAGTATTAACCGACATCTCTTCACAACTTTAATTTTGTGAATAATCTCTCTTAAAGGAGGATCTCGTGAGGCAGGTCTTGGAAGAGATGAAGATACTCTTTGAGCAAAATCAGAAAGAAGTGTAAGTGTATACGACTCCTACTTGGTGATTTTCCAACAAAAAAATGAAAGTTCTGGTATAGAAGGGGTCTGGCTTGGATACTCTCTTACATACAGTGTAATTTTATTTGATAAGCAAGTGAGATGCTTGTTGTCCACAATTTGTGCGCGATGACTGATAGAGCTCAATTTGTATTTTGAATAATCTCAGTTGATTTTCTAAATAATCTGGAGCAGTGAAGTTTATTGAGAAGGACCAACATATCATTATCCAATCTATTCTTTATGTAGGGCATTAACTGTTGAAGGAGAAACTGGTTTATTCTCTGGAGTGCATCTGAGACATGCTAGTTTGGAGAGAAATAAAAGATGTCTACTCTCCTACATGTAAGTTACAATGAATAACCAACACATCAATGGTCTAGTGTGTGCTAAAGGCATTCACAGTCAGGTGTCCATTGATAGCCTCAATTGACCCGTGAGCAACATCTCCATTGACACTCAATTGACACTCAATCGA